ACAAAATCTGTTTTGTCGACCGAAACAATGCAATGTAAATATGTTTTTCAAATTTGTATTTGCTAATTTATTAACATAAGCAATATAGTCATTTTCGTTTTGACTAACATATTTACATTATTCCTAAGCAGAGTTTAAACGTTTTACTAACCTGTTATTGATTTTACAAAAACCATGTGTTTTGATCTTTAAAACCACAAAACAAACGCAAGAGTAAAGGCGGGGGAGGGCATATTAGGCACGGTGAGTATTAGGTATAAATCACCTTGATATTTAGGTTACTTTTTAGTAGGAAATAATTATTTTCTCACGTTGGACTATAGGTTCTTTTTGGTCCAAATTTTAAAATAACAAAATATGTAAATTACAAAAAGCTTAAAGTTTTAAGAATCAATGATAATAGTAAATACTGTAAAAATAATAGTAGTATAATAATAGATTCTGTACAAATTTATCAAATGTAGGTCAAATCAAGATTATCATTTCAAGTACCGAATATGCGAACGCAGTAAAGCGGTTTTGGTTTTAGTCCACTAGTAGTACATCATTAGGATCCGCTTGTTAGACTTACTATTAATCTACTGTATTATAATATGTTACAGGTCAAACCATATGGTTTCAAACACTCATTTTCTTGGAAAACAAAAAAATATTGAAAATTATATTTTTCTCATACGTGCATGTACATAATATTTCAGTATATTTTCCAATGCATGGACTCTTTTACCGTTATACCTTATACGTAAAACAAGTCTGGACTTTTTTTTCCAAATAGGAACATATTATTATGTTGTTAGTTTATGTAGATAAAAAATGTACACAAATGTTAGCATAATCATTTTTTTTATCAACCTGTTCATTTACTATGACTTTGTAAATATATTACATTTCCTATTATATTAAAAAAAAACAGTAACTTTCATAACTATTTCAAAACATTTCATTGTGCCTGATTACCCGTTTTTCTCGTCTATGAGACAATGCATACACAACCATGAGGTTGATGGTCTACTGGATTTTGGAAAACTGAAGACATATGACAGTTATAAGGAGTAATGTAATATCTTTGCTAAGTGAAATATGACTTCAAAAAACAGGAAATTAACAATAAGATGGAAGTTAAAAATTAAAACGCTGAAATATTTTTACATTTTTTGTCTACTATTGAATAAAAACCATAAGTTCTCATTCGGAAAAAACGTCCATACTTCTTATACGTATAAGTGATATAAGTAAAATTTCTCTCAGTGTTTAAACAATAGACAAATATATAAGCACCTAGAAGTGAAGAAAAAAATAATTTTCAAAATATTCATTATATTTTAAAAAAATGAGTGTCTTACATAAGATGGATCACTCAGTACAATGTTTATTTAGAGTATATGTGGTATGGATGAACATATTTATCATAAGCAAAGCAGTAAGAAACTACAAAACATTTTTTTTTTATGTAAAATTACGACTACGTTCAGTTAAAATCAAAAAAAAAATTTGCCTAAAATTAAATTTACTTTGTATCTGTGAATTTAACTCATAATTACCCAGACAGCACACAAATTCCAATATGTTATAATTTATTTACGCTATTCAAAGGGTTGCTCATCAATTAAAATAATTTTAAGTCAGACAATTGATTGCATTAATTTTATCCGGTATTATTAGGATTAGGATTTGCGTTATATTTGAAATTTATTTTTAATTAACACTTTCAGATACTTAAAAAAATTATTTTTTTCTTATACTTGTAGGTACATATTTTTCTATATTTTTCAATATTTAGAATATTTTTTATCTTCAACCCTTATATGAAAAACAAGTATCGCATTTGGGTTTTTAAATAGGAACGTATGTTTTTGCAAAAACAGTAACTTTGCATTAACATGTTTTTGTGTGATTCAGAACAATAAAACAACAAACACCAATGCATACAGTGTGAACTTTTATAAATAATATATAATTATAGCGCAAAACACTTGTTTAAGAAAAAATCGTTTTAATGTGTCCAACGGTCTAACCCATATTAGAGTTATAATATAAATATAAGACTACCTCTTTAAATGTGAGGGGTAAAAACAAAAATGTGAACAATTGAATTCACATTGTACAAAAACAATATAAATAACCGAAAAGTTTTTCAGCTGAGTCTGCAACCACGAAAGAGCATTTTCATGTCTCGTTGAAATACCGAATAAATTAAGAGTAGTTGTGGAATTATGGATAATGATATAGTATATTAACAAGCAGGGGGGGGGGGGTTTCTGAACAATGTCATTAGCATTGAAATGTAATGAACATACAAAAGCTACAACAACACCAACTCCTTTTATCTCGAGAAAAACTAAATATTTAATATTTGTTACCTTTATCTACATTAATAGGTTTATGACTGAATTCTCAATTCCCATTTTTTTCTTAATTCCTCATTTAAAGGAAATTTGTGAAGATGGATGTGTGGATTTTTGTTGAGACATTTGCGTCTACTGCCACTTAAACATCCATCAAAAACACAAAGTGGCATTTTACAATATATTTAAATATACAAAATAAGTACGGCACACTGAACAGTAAACTCTGAATATAATATACTCTTTATAGAGTCTTAATAGTTGATTATTCTCTAAATTAGTTCTATTTATTATATATATAATTTACAAACTAAAGTTTTGGCGGGCATATAATTTCCTGATAAGATATAATTTATAGCAAATCACAGGCGGACAAAATCTATCGCCATTTCTGCGATGATTTCTGTTGAAATAATTATGAGAATAAATAAGATAGTTTTCCGTTTAGGTTTCCCGATAATTTTGACTGGTTTAACCATTTGTGGATAGTTATTTTCAAAGTTATAAACAGAATGGGATAAAGGGTGAAATTTGGTATTATTATAATCTGGAAGAAATACTCTACGGCATTCCACTTCTCTTCCTAAATTTTAAACTTCAGTAAAACTACTAAAAAAGTAATTATCCAAAACTAGTTCTCGACCAATAAACGTCTTCAGCATATTATTCTTGTTGTTAGATCTCTAAAAGAAACTTTTAATAAGTAATATTGTAGAATAAATAAAATAACGTGTCTCAAAATAGAAAAACCACATATTTTAAATTAGTTTAAAAAAAATTGATCGTGTTATTTACAATGAATAACCCTGTAAAAAAATTGATGTTATTAAAAGAGAATTAACATTAAAACTTTATATTTATAAGAGAAGCAAAAAATGTCCTAGAACAACGATAACCAATAAAATTATTAAAGATGCCGGACTGAGAATCTACAAGAAACTAAAGATACTGGATAATAACAGAGAAGAGTGGAGGGAGTATGAAAAAATGCTGTAAAACCAATCTCAGGGTTTTGATTACTAAATAAGAAGATAAGTTATTATGTCTCCTCAACTAAAAGTTTACTTTACTGTAATTATTAAATGAACAAAAGAACTCAATTCTTATATGGACGTTTGTTTGGTAAGGGTGCTAAATGACTACTTTATAATCGAGAACTCTTAAAAGAATTCTTCCCAACTTCAAGTTTACTTAGCGATATTTTCAAAATAAAACATAATTACAAATATATTAACACTTTTATTTAATAACCAGGTTATATATAAATTATAGGTTCTATTAATGCCCCTGATATTCTAATCACCATATCTTTTCACGTTTCCTCCCACTCTACTTGTACTCATTAGGGCGTTACATTTTAAAGTATAAAAAAAAATACGAACATATTAATAAATATTATATTTTTAAACCAGTTTTTGATACTTATATTTATGCAGGTATTACAATTTTAGCATTAATTAATTGGAACTGTAATGGATAAATATAACAAACTGCTTTAACTATATAATTTGTACAAAATCTTTTCGCGTTTCTTCCTACTTATTTAATACTAATATCCTATTCCAAGTTCTTGCTCTCACTCCCTACATTGGCCGCAACCATTATATCCATAGAAAAGTCTAAACAATCAATAACTTAGTTTTAAAAAAAATTTCCTAAAGTGAATATTGTTTTGTATCTATAAATTTAAATCATAATTACCCAGACAACAAAAAAATTAAAAACTCCTGATTATATAATAATCGATTTTCACTATTCAAAGGGCTACCCATCAATTAAAGTATTTAAAGTTCAACCATTTATTTTTAAATAAATTTTCGGGCTTATGTTTAAGAAAGTCTAAAAATATCATAGTTTGATGAATTGTAGAATTGATGTCATTGTTAAATCATTGTCATTAAAAACAAAAAAATTTCATTAGATTTGTCCGCTAATATCAATTACATTTTGAGCATAATATCAAAAATTTACTACACGTTAGTTTAGATTTTATATTTATGTTATAGAGAAAAAACACGAAGACTTACAAAGTATAATATTTGTACGATATTCAATTGATAGAATAACATAAACGCTACAATGTGAATCTGTGGATAGTAGGGTCAAACCAGTATAGTCCAAACACAGTAAGAAATTATTATATGTGAGTGAGTATTACCTAGTAGTAGTATTTCATTAGATTGGTCCTCTTACATCACTACCTTATAGAGTACATTTTTAAAAAAACGTTCATTTAGATTTTATTTTTATGTTTTAGAGAAGAATAACGGATGTTCACAGATAAAAAAGACTTATGTCAATATACAAATATCAACAAAAACATTGTACCTAATGACAATTATGTGCTTAAAAATTATTTCGTTGTATTAGGGTAGACACGATAAGGTTGATAGCCATAATATCAATAATAATTCGCAACAAATGTGTTTAAAATCGTGAACAAAAGCGTTTATTTTATCATTTATTTATTTTATTTTACATATGACAATCGGCTGATAATTATAATGACAATAATGGGAATACTAATGATAATGAAACTACATAATAATAACAATTAATAAGCATATATCAAATAAACTAATTTAGTGCAATATGCAAACTTTAATTATTTATTTAAATATAATTTTAAAATAAATAAACGATTGATATCTAGTATTATTCGCTACTTAACTCAAGCGGAGTACTGATATCCTCGCATAGTTGTACATTTAGTTTTTTTTTTGTATCGGCATTTACTTGCCAATATTCGCCTTCAAGTGATTTGTATTTTACAACACCCCCTTTTAGTATTACCTTACATACATTATCATATGGAATTACAAAATCAGACGTGTTTGAAGAAATTTTAAGACTAACCCACATTGCTATCAAAGTACAAATCCTATAAACAGGATACTTCTTGTCAACTTCATCAATCGAGGTGATTTCAGCTAAAAAATCAAAAAGCAGTTGTTAAAAATAACCAAATTAAACCTATAAGCCACTATATTCCTTTCAGTGTAAGACACAATTACTAAACGTAAATAAAACAAGTTATACAAATATATTAACTATGTATAATATTAAAAATCTCAGCTTTCTGAAAAAATTATAAGTTTTTACAGTCAATAAAAATGAGTTTATAATTTATAAATATGTTTTTTATTGTTGCCCAAAATTTAAGAATTTTCTTTAGAAAGCTGAAAAATTGTACATTTAATGTGTAATCAGGATACTTCTTGTCAACCGAGGTGATATAAGCTAAAAAAACAGAATACAGTTGCTAAAAATTGCCAAAATTACCAATTATTAGCCACTGTTTTTCTTATTTGTGCAATTGATGTAGATTAATTTGACACAATTATTAAACGTAAATGAAATAAGTAATACAATTATATAAAACATGTATAAATGTAAAAAATCTCAGTATTAAAAAAAAATTATACTTTTTTTTGTATTAATATTTATTAAAAATGAGTTGGTAATTTATAAAGGTAAATTTTTTGTGTTGTCCAAAATTTTTAAATTATTTAAATTTTTTTTTTAGAAAGCTGAAAAGTTTTACATGTGAACATTTTAAACAGGGGTCACTATAAACACAATTAAAAAAAAAAGAGGTGAAATTAAAAATTGTATAATAAATATTAAGTATATTTGTAGAAATTATAAAGAAACAAAAAATTTGTGTTAAGTAGTCTATAAAATACTATGTTATTTAAAATGAATCATGCTGTAAAATTTAATGTTATTAAAAAAATAAATAATATTAAATCTTTTTATTTATAATCACCTAATTTTTTGGTAAGCACATTTATAATAGCATCTCCAGTAAGACCTCTTCTCGCCTTTCCAAGTTCGGTCAATTTTAAAGTTTCAGTACCTGCATAAGTGTATAAATAGCTGGTTTGAAAATATAATATTTATTTATATAATCGTTTGTATTTTGATTTTTTTAATTTAACACCCTAATAGATACAATCAAAGTGGGAAGGAACGCAAAAAATTTGAAAATTATAATAACAGGATGAAGCCTAAAATTGATGGAGCCTAGAAGGGGTGATCAAATAAAATAGAGATCAGATTTTTGTAAAAAGGCGCGTATGCTCAAAATGTATTATATATTCGTTCAATTTTTATCTGGTTCTAAGTTTGGTAAGGTTACCAAATTACTATTTCATTTTAGAACCCTTATAACAAGTCTCCCCAACTTATAGTAAATTGTTATTCGAACAATATAATAATATACAGAGTGGGGCGGAGCCGACTGACGAGTTTTGAAGGGCTATAAATAACGAACAGTAAAACTTAGAGATAAGCAGTTGGTTTTATTAAAATTATTAACAAGTACCGTTTTTTAGGTTGAGTTTTGAAAATTACATCACCAAGATGGCGACCGTCAGAAGCAATACATTGTTGCAGGCGTTTTCGATAGTTTTCGTGTGATTTTCGGCACGTTTCTATAGGAATGGCCGCGATTTCTTTGGTTATTCTGACCTTCAGGTCTTCTAACGTATGCGGGCGATGTTTAAAAACCTTCTCCTTTAGTAAGCTCCAGAGAAAAAAATCGCACATGCTCAAATCGGAGGAGCGCGCCGGCCAGACCACGTCACCCCTGTGGGAGACTAACCACCCAGGAAACATTTGTCGCAAAACGGTCAGTGAATTACGAGCTGTGTGCGCTGTAGCCCCATTTTGTTGAAACCACACATCTCCCAAGTCATGATCTTCAGCCATTTCCTCCAACTTGTGCTGCAGATAAGTTGTCATCATTAAAACATACCGAGCGGAAGTGACTGTGACGGTCCTGTTCCCCTCCTCAAAAAGTATGGGCCGATCACCCGAAATTGGGATACAGCACACCACACTGTCACTTTAGGAGAATGGAGGGCATTTCCCGTGGGTTATTTTCAGCCCATTAGCGAAAATTCTGTTTGTTTACAGCCCCTAGAAAGATGGAAATGGGCCTCGTCGCTACAAAAAAAAGTTGCTGGCGAAACGTGCCAAAAAGCTCACGAAAAATTCCAAAAACGCCTGCAACAATGTATTGCTGCTTACGGTGACCATCTTGGGAATGTAATTTTTAAAACTTAACCTAAAAAACGGTACTTGTTAATAATTTTAATAAAACAAACCGCTTATCTCTAAGTTTTACTGTTCGTTATTTATAGCCCTTCAAAACTCGTCATTTGGCTCCGCCCCACCCTGTATAAAGCAAATTTTATCTTTCAAATAAGCCATAAGTTCTGATTGATACTAACAAGTAGCTCTGTAAATTCTATTGTTTTCATCATTAGGCATAGTACTACCTGTAACATAATTTCCTGTAACAAATAAATTATATAGTTAGTCAAACCGTGATGTTGTATGTATCCATAGCAGTAAATCTAAAAATGAGAATCATTTGACCAATTAATGAATGCAAAATATAATATTAACACAAAACATATGTCTTTTAAAGCCTTTTTAGCTACCGCATTTAAGTGATCTCTAAAATGTAGAGAAGGCGTATTTAAGGTGTTAAGATCATTAATAGAAAAAACTCGATGGAGTTGAATACCGTGAATAAAGAAGTCGTGCAGTAGCGGAATACGGTTCCAGGAAAATGACAAAATATGACATTTTTCAACATACAGTGTCAGACCATTGAGATGAGCCAAATACAGAAAAAACCTAAGTTCAATATGTAGTAGGCAACCATCCACTGATAAGGTAATACTAAAAAAATGTTTATGTCGTAATAGAAGGATAAGAAACCGCTTCTTGAGCATAAGTGTATTCTTAAAAATTGATACACACCGTTCAAAATAATACCCTAAATATAATAGTGGTAAAATGTTGTTAAGGCTCCCCAACTAAAAATTAAGTTTTTAGCTATTATTGTGTGAACAAACGGATTTGATAAGCAAATTGTATATTTCAAACAAGCAATATTATATATTTACTACCATCTTTGTAAATGTTATCGTTTTCATCAGCATGCGCAGGAGTACCTGTAAAACAAATATTAAAACATTTTTTAGTTAACTAAACCCGGTCTGTTGTATTTATTCATCTCAGTTTCAATTAATCAATGCCAAATATAGTGTTGATTTTAGTCGATAAAGCCCCATCCCATCTCCGCTCAAGGAATAAATTAAAATATATGTGTTATACTGTTACACAAAAAAAGTTATTTATCTCTAAAAAAAACCCACAAATTATCATTATAGTACAAATAAATTGATTATGTAATAAGTAATACTTTAAAATTGTATATTTATATTTACAACAAAGTTTTTTTGTAAGAATTTTTCTCGCATTATTAAATGTGGTGCATTTCGAAATTCCATCACCTGCATAAATTTATAAATAAACTGGTTTATAATACAGTATTTAATAATATAATCGTACTTATGTTTTATTTTGATATTTAAATCACTAATACGCATTTTTTTCACAAATGTACAAAAATATCGCATACAAAGTACAATATAGAAGTGCAATAATCAGTCAAACAATAATATCTTAAACGATGAACAAAAAACTATACAGTATAGTTCAAATTAAAGTATTAGCATTAAGCCGATGGCTCTTAAGGTCCTGATAGCTACCGCATTTATACACAAAATATAGCGGCAAGGTATATACTACGAAACACATAAACCACGTAGAAGAGAATTATAGCTCCTAAAAATTTTCATAATAACCAAGGAGATGAGCCCAGTCAAAAAATCAAATAACTTCAGCTTGTAGGTTTCAATAATCCGCGGAAAAAGCAATACTAATGAAAATATATATCATGTCGTCTGCAAAAAAAAAAACTTCTTGTTTTTGCAAAAGTTCCTCTAATGAGCTAACGAAATAAAGAGGACTAAGGTGGTCCCATTGATAGACGCTTGAGGAGATAGTAGAAGGTTCAGAAACTGCTCTGTTCACATAAGTGCAATGTTTCCTATCGGAAAGGTAAGATGTGAGGGGTTTCCAATGTCAATTATTAGCGTAGAGTACAATGATAAATGAAGCGTTATTAGTGCTACGAGTGCTATGATTCAACCAGCTCTTGATAGTATATCAAACAACAAGAACTAGTATCGTATTTTGTCTGTCGAGTCATAAGTATTTGTTAACATAAAACGTCAACAATTTATTACATTAAAAATGGTATTTTGTGGTAAAATGTTAAAAATTGATAAACGCTGTTCCAAAAATTACTCTAAATATAATAGTTGTTAAAATTATTATAACAGTAAGTCTCCCCAACTAAACTTTACTAATTTTTTTGTAATTAACTTTGTAATTACTTTTGGTTGTATCAGCAGGATTAGGAATACCTGTAAAAATAATTTTAAAAATAATTTAGTTATTTAAACTCGGTTGGCTGTATTTATTCATAACAGTTTCAATTAATCAATTCTAAATATAGTATTGATATTAAATAAATATTGAATAACTGCATAATTACTTATGGGTTTATCAGCACGGATACCTGAAACAAGAATATAATACAGCTACGTAAACTAGGTTGTTATATTTTTTTATAAAAGTTACTCAAATAATTGAACTACTTTGACTAATAAGTCAATGCAAAATGTTTTATTAACATAAAATTAATCCCTGGCAAGTAGTAACGTTTGAAAAAATACTTTCTTCACAATGAATTTAATAATAATCTAATTTTTTTATGTGTATTAATTCTGTCTTCTACAAAAATTTTTGTGACCTATTATTCCTTGATGAACCTAACTATATTCAGTACACTTTGAAATTGTTTAAACATGTGTTTGAAATACCTAATACGTGACTGGGTTTATTTTTATTTTCCAATTCCTAAGCCATGTCTCAAAGATGTTAATATGTTATTGTAAATAGTGAGCCACGTCATTTACACTATTTAAACGCCTTGCGAACATGCAAGTGTTTCGACACGTTGCCAAACCAGTCAAGACATTCAAATAGGAGTAACCATAAGGCTTGTAAATAGTGTAAAAATGTATCTTTTAAACAAGCCATAAGTTCTAATTATAACTGTGAGGGGTTTCCAATGTCAATTATTAGCGTAGAGTACAATGATAAATGAAGCGTTATTAGTGCTACGAGTGCTATGATTCAACCAGCTCTTGATAGTATATCAAACAACAAGAACTAGTATCGTATTTTGTCTGTCGAGTCATAAGTATTTGTTAACATAAAACGTCAACAATCTATTACGTTAAAAATGGTATTTTGTGGTAAAATGTTAAAAATTGATAAACGCTGTTCCAAAAATTACTCTAAATATAATAGTTGTTAAAATTATTATAACAGTAAGTTTCCCCAACTAAACTTTACTAAAATTTTTAGTAATTAACTTTGTAATTACTTTTGGTTGTATCAGCAGGCATAGGAATACCTGTAAAAATAATTTTAAAAATAATTTAGTTATTTAAACTCGGTTGGCTGTATTTATTCATAACAGTTTCAATTAATCAATTCTAAATATAGTATTAACGTTTGAAAAAATACTTTCTTCACAATGAATTTAATAATAATCTAATTTTTTTATGTGTATTAATTCTGTCTTCTACAAAATTTTTTGTGACCTATTATTCCTTGATGTACCTAACTATATTCAGTACACTTTGAAATTGTTTAAACATGTGTTTGAAATACCTAACATATGTAATATTTTTGTGGCTTGTAGCTTACATTTTCAGGTACTTATTGGTTCAGAAAGCTGTATATTAAAAAACTGATAATTTTGTGTTCACCTGTTATCTTAAAAATTTCCCCGTTGCAACCTTTGTTATATTGTTATTAATGTACCAAGGGGCATTTGTAATCATTCGTATTGATATATTTTGGAGCGCCTATATTGGTCTTATTGTTAAATGTCTAGCTGGTCCTCCCCCATATTTGAATTCCATTTGCCCATATTAGTCGTATTATTGACTTAAATATAAGTAATTTAATCTTGAGTGGCAGGTTGAATTTATGATTCAAGTTTATTTGATTTTTTTCTTTTTTCTTTGAAGTGAGATCCCCAGGTAAGACGTATGTCTAATATTAAATTAACATATTTTGTCTCATTTTGAGTAGTGATAACTGTATTGTTGAGTATTACTGCAGGATATGTTTTAGGACGGAGAGCAAAGGTAACGTGACTGGGTTTATTTTTATTTTCCAATTCCTAAGCCATGTCTCAAAGATGTTGATATGTTATTGTAAATAGTGAGCAACGTCATTTACACTATTTAAACGCCTTGCGAACATGCAAGTGTTTCGACACGTTGCCAAACCAGTCAAGACATTCAAATAGGAGTAACCATAAGGCTTGTAAATAGTGTAAAAATGTATCTTTTAAACAAGCCATAAGTTCTAATTATAACTGTGAGGGGTTTCCAATGTCAATTATTAGCGTAGAGTACAATGATAAATGAAGCGTTATTAGTGCTACGAGTGCTATGATTCAACCAGCTCTTGATAGTATATCAAACAACAAGAACTAGTATCGTATTTTGTCTGTCGAGTCATAAGTATTTGTTAACATAAAACGTCAACAATCTATTACGTTAAAAATGGTATTTTGTGGTAAAATGTTAAAAATTGATAAACGCTGTTCCATAAATTACTCTAAATATAATAGTTGTTAAAATTATTATAACAGTAAGTTTCCCCAACTAAACTTTACTAAAATTTTTAGTAATTAACTTTGTAATTACTTTTAGTTGTATCAGCAGGCATAGGAATACCTGTAAAAATAATTTTAAAAATAATTTAAATATTTAAACTCGTTTTGCTGTATTTATCCATAAAAGTTTCAATTAATCAATTCTAAATATAGTATTAACGTTTGAAAAAATACTTTCTTCACAATGAATTTAATAATAATCTAATTTTTTTATGTGTATTAATTCTGTCTTCTACAAAATTTTTTGTGACCTATTATTCCTTGATGAACCTAACTATATTCAGTACACTTTGAAATTGTTTAAACATGTGTTTGAAAAACCTAAGATATGTAACAATCTAATATTTTTGTAGTTTATTTACATTTACGTTTTAAGGGGCTTATTGGCCTTAGAAAGTTGTTTATAAAAAAACTGATAATTTTATAATCACCTAATATGTCAAAAATATCCCGTTGCAAAAAATATTCTTCTGTCTCTATGGCATCTAAATTTGAAAATAAAACCAATATTTTACAATATATAATTCTTTGTATTATATTAAAGTGTTAATTGATTACGTTGTAGGAAGTCAAAATTGTGAATTTCTGCATGTTCTGAAATTAAATCGAAAAATGTATATACTTATTGATTATCAAGCGACTATGTGAAAATATGTTAAAAAAGTATTACCCGGTACAGTGAACATTTGATTTAAATATCCTGAAAATATTAATCAAAAAATTGTTGGTATTGAATTTAATACTCTATTCTATCATAAACTAGAGTAGAGAAGAATTTTAATATCACATAATTATTATTACTCAATGCATATCGATCTTTATCCATCATGACTGTAAGTACATGCTCCAATCCATCTAGAACAAACAAATACAAGATCGACCTTTAGAAAAGTTCCAAATAAAATCAAAATTAATAAAAAAAAATCATTAGAAAAAATTACCCCTGTTAAGTAAATAATCAATTTTTAGAGTCAAATGTGCTCATAGTAAATTATAGTAACTTTTAGTAAAGGCTCGTGCCCCCATGAGACAGTGCACAGGTCCAATCAAAAATATAAAACTACCACATTTTGAAGATGCCACTCCCCTCACGTATGAAGAAGTTTTGTGCTGGCAATTTTTTACAAAATCTTAAATTAAAGACAATGTTAAGTTTCATAACTTCCAGGTGATAAAGGTAACTTTTTTGTAAGACAATTTTTGGAGGCGCTGTATCATGAAAGCCAAACTCGTTTTATTATAACCAAAAATTGCATGGGCGGCATCCTCTTAAATATAAAAATTAATTTATATTATTTTTACAAGTAATTTGACACCTAGGCAATCATTGTATTACAATTATAT